GTCTGGCTTCTTTCACTTAGCATAGTGTTTTCAAGGTTCACCCATGCAACATGGATCAGGACTTCATTTTTCTCTCTCCCCCCCTTTTTTTTTGGCCATTTTAACCATCTTTAGATGTACAGTTCAGTGGCATTAATTACATTCACTGTGTTGTACAACCTTCACCAGTGTCCATTGCCAAAAGTTTTTCATCGCCCCAAACAGAAATTCAGTGCCCCCTAAGCAATGACTCCCCCTTTCCCCTCCCTCCCGTCCCTGGTAACCATTAGCAAACTCTGATCTCTATATATTTACCTATTCTAGGTATTTAATGTTAATGAGATCATACAGTATTTGTCCTTTTGTGATTGACTTACTTCCCTCAGCATAATGCCTTCAACGATCATCCGTGTCGTAGCGCGTGTCAGAATTGAATTCCTTTTTACGGCTGCACACCCTCCTGTGTGTGGACACACCGTGTTGTGTTCATTTGTTGATGGACACTTGGCTTGTGTCCACTTTTCAACTATTACGAATAGAGCTGCTATGAACGTACGTACCAGTCTGTGTGTGAACATACGCTTTCATGTCTCTTGGGTATATCCCTAGGGGTGGAATTGCTGGGTCACGTGGTGACTCCATGTCGAACCTTTGGAGAGATTGCCAAGCTCTTTTCCAAACCAGAAGTGCTCTCATTTTGGGACTTGGGCCCCTTGAAAAGCACCATGGGAATGAACAACGCCAAGAAATGCCATCTCCTGAAGTTGGAGTAACGCAGACATGACTGAAATTAGGAAAGGTCAGGATACCAGCTAAACTTCCCCAGAGCCTGCTCTGAGGGGGAGGAACAAACCGGATGCTGACCCAGCAGCTGCTTTCCCCGGGCTTTTTAGCTCCCTCCCCCTTTTTTTTTTAAGCTCTGACAACCTAGGGGACTGATGACTCCCTCCTTAGCCACAGTGGTGGTCGCATCCGTGTATGGGGCTCCCTGCATCCTTGTAAGGTGCTGGGAGCCCCCGGCCAAATGAGCTGCCTCCTGGGCTGCTGCTCATGGCAGGATTACCTTCGGTTTCTTTCCTTATGAAGATGCAGGCAGTTCTTGGCATCAGACCCCTCGGAGAGAACGATTAGGCCTGAAAACCAGCTTCCTGCACCTCTAATTCTCCTCAGCTGGATCAGATGAGGGATTTAATCTCATGTCTGAGAGATGTTTTATTGCTGCAGACGCTTTGTGCAGGTGGTTCAGCTTTAATGTGATCTGTGTGTTCCTGAAAAAAATCTTGTGTTACGCCAATCACACAGTGAAAACATGATTTCTTATGGGGAAAACGGGTGGGCGGACTACTCAAACCCATGTGATTCTGTAACCAAAGCATGTTAACAAAACCACTAACAAGGGTAGTTAAAAACATATATTGTAGCAATTCCACTCCTAGATATACCCACGAAAAATGAAGAGATGTTCACGCACAGACTTGTACACACACGTTTATAGCAGCTCTGTTCATAATAACCCAAAAGCAGACACAGCCCCGTGTCCATCAATGGATGACTGGGTAAACAAAATGTGATCCATCCATACAATGAAGTATTATTCAGCCATAAAGAGAAATGAAGTTCTGATGTGTGCCACAGCACGGATGGACCTTGAAAACGTGACGCTCAGTGAAATAAGCCATTCACAAAAGGACGAATATTGTATGAGTCTACTTATATGAAATATCTAGAATAGGCAAATGCATAGAGACTATTTGTGCGTATCAGGACTGGGGGAGGGGGAAAAGTTACTGCTTAAGGGGGTATTGAGTTTCCTTTTGGGGCGATGAGAATGTTCTGGAACTAGACAGAGTTGGTGGTTGCACAGCGTGGTGAACATACTCAATGCCACTGAGTCGCACACTTAACCTGGTTAAAGCGGCAAATGTTTTATTACATATATTTTATGACAATAAAAAATTCTAGAGCACACTTAGGGCACCACTGCCAGCTGATCTTTCCAGCCTTGAACCCCGATCTGTGCACTTGAGGCAGGTCCTGCTGGCACAGAGCTATTCTGTCAGCATTCAGAAGCGGATCCTAGCATAGCCTTCTTCAGCCTCCCTTAACTCTTTAAGCACTGGGGAAGTGTCTTTACACATGCCTCCTCCATGTTCATAGTGGCTCCCTGTAGCGGGGTGTGGTGGGAAGTATGACAGGCCTTGGTGTCCCTCAGAGAAGGGCCTTCTGCAAGCTCTTCCGCTCTTTTTCTTCATGTATTCCTGTAACATCAAGGATTCTCTTTAAGTATTAGAAAGCTTGCCCATCACTGCTTCAAAGTATTATTGTCACCCAGTGCATAAGGTGGCAACCTTATGTACCTTATACCGTAGGGGAGGGGGAAACGGGAGCAGGGAAGGCTCTTCAGAAGGGCTGTCTTCACTCAGTAGGAAGAGGGAGTAGGAACTCTCCAGATGAAGACCAGCGTCTGAAAAGAAAGATGAGAGCGTGCCAGTAGACTAGACTATGACCTTAGACGAGTTATTTTTTCACTGTCTTAGTCACCTAGTGCCGCTATAACAGAAAGACCACAAGTGGGTGGCTTTAACAAAGAGAAATTTATTTTCTCACAGTTTAGGAGGCTAGAAGTCTGAATTCGGTGTGCCTGCTCTAAGGGAAGGCTTTCTCTCTCTCTGGGCTCTAGCGGAAGATCCTTGTCTCTTCTGAGCTTCTGCTCCTGGGTGAGCTTCATGTGGCTTGGCATCCTCTCTTCCCCATCTCTGTTCTGCTTGCTTGTTTAATCTCACATCTCAAAAGAGATTGACTGAAGATATACCCTACACCAATCCTGCCTCATTAAGATAACAAAGACAACCCATTCCCAAATGGGATTATAACCACAGGCATAGAGGTTAGGATTTACAACACATATTTTGGGGGGACACAATTCAGTCTGTAACAACCACCTTTTTCCTCTTTTCTCGCATGTTTTCACTTCTCAGTGTTGCCATGGCCATCATTGGGGCTCTCATCAGTCCCCTTCGTGGCCATAGCTGTGTGGTCTGGAGAGAGTGGCGCCCTTGTGCCTCTGGGGAACGTGCTGCTCCTCTCAGAAGACCGACCACTGACGACCTAGGCCATCAAGGTGATGCCTCGTCAGGGTGGTCCTTGGATGTTTGTGTGGGCAGAACTGCCCTTCGACTCGGCCATCAAGGTTTTGGGTTCTTTACTCCCTCTACAAGGAAAAAGAGACTCCTGGAGACTGTTCTCTTGAACCTCTACAGTCTGTACAGATCAGACTGTGCTGGCTGATGTTCCGGAAGCTCTTGGGGAAGTGAAACCAGGCTTGATGTCCATGACTGAGCTTCTTCTCATTTGAAATGTGTATCCAGAGAATAGTTCTGAAGCCAGGTTCTTTTCCTCTTTCCAAGTCTCTGCCCTGGGCTGCGTTTGCTCTCGGTGACGTGCTGGAAAGTGAAACTGTGCCTGGTCAGCTGCAGGCTGAGTAGCCATATTCTGTAGGGCTACCTCACCTCCTCTGTAGTGTGGGTCACGGCCAACACGTCGTGTCCTTTTAAAACGTAAAGAGGTCGTAAGTTCAGAAACCTTGGAAATTTCTATTTCCATCCCAACCTTGTCATTCTTGGAAACTGAACCTCACTAATTTCCTTCCACCCCTTGGTTGTATTTACCAGGCATTCCTTGTGGGCGTGTGGTTTGTACTTGGCCTCATGGTGTTGAAATTATTTGGGGAATACAAATGAGAGCTCCAGAGAAGCCAGACCTTTCCAGGACCCAGGAAGCCCCCTGTCCTTCAGGGTGTGAGTCATGTTGTGAGTTGTGTGGAAGTAGGGAGTCCAACCTGTCCGCAACTGCAGACTAACCAGAAGGTTCTGGGCAGCCTTTTTCTGGGCTCGCTGGCCGCTGTCGGGCCCTCCTCCCATCCTTTACGCATGGCGGTCTAGCGGGCCAGGCCCAAAGGTGGGACTGGTCGGCCACGCCTAGCTTCCCAGGACTCTTCCTCATTTCCCATCGAGAACCCAAGACTCAGAAATGCATGGTTTTCTGACATGTGCTAGTAGACTTTCCACTTGGTGTAGCCGGAGCATGCCCTGGTCCCCTTCACTGCCTGGTCTCCCCAGGATAGACGAGAGGGGCAGTGACTGGCAGAGACGTGAGCCCTGGGGGACAGGAGAATTCTCAGCTGAGGACACAGGATGAGAATGGTCTTGCCCTTGCCATTTCTCATGCCAGAGGAAGGCACTGTTAATGGAGGGTCCAGCTGCTGGCTCTTCCTTCCAGCCTCCTCAGCATGGGCCGTGCTCTTGGCCTCCTAGGCCGGCCTGTGGCTAAGAGGGCCTCGGCACACCTCCTGAAGGTGACTGCTTTGTGACGCTGGCCCCGTCAACATCAGACGACGAAGGGGTGTCTCGCCCTGGGCTAGGGGGCTCTCTTCTCTCCCAGCAGGAAGCGGGGAGGAAGGGCTCTGGCCCTCTCCGGGTGCTGAGCCTGGGGAAGAAGCGTCTCGTGATGAGGCAGGCCAGTCTGGACTTGTTTTCCTTCTTGCACCAGAGCCCTGGGCAGCTGCTGGAGGGCTGGGCTTAGCAGGTGTTTCTGCCCTGGCTTTGTGCCTTCTCTCACCTGATTCTCCCAGTGAGGATGCTCCAAGGCAGCACTGCCCATTGTGGTGCTGTGGCGATGTTAGCATGGCCCCCAGAGCCAATCTGATAGGTGGCTAGCACACTGGAGAAAACGACAAATAGCAGAGCTGTTGTGACATCCGTACCTGGGAGATGGAGGCCCCAGGGCCTGCGGACTCAGCTGATTCGGTGCCCCGGCCAAGGAGTCAGGGGAGCTGTAGTACAGGTGGGGCCCAACACTGCAGACAGGCCTCGGGGTCGGGGAGAGTGAGCAGAGGGGTGGGCTGAACCCCCCTCCCGGGGACTTGCCATGTGCTGGGCACCCCCAGCCTGCCTGCCGGTGCTGACTTTTTCTGCAGACTGGTGTGTTCTCTGTGATACTTACATGCTTGTTTAACGCTTCAGGGAAGAAAAGTCAGAAGACCAAGACCTCCAGGGCCTCAAGGACAAGCCCCTGAAGCTGAAGAAGTTGAAGAAGGATAAGAAGGAGGACAAAGAGGCCAAGCATGAGCCGCTGCAGTCGTCTGCCCACCACTCTGCTGAGCCAGCCGAGGCGGGCAAGGCGGAGACATCCGAGGGGTCAGGCTCTGCCCCGGCCGTCCCAGAGGCCTCTGCCTCCCCCAAACAGCGGCGCTCAATCATTCGTGACCGGGGCCCCATGTATGATGATCCCACTCTGCCTGAAGGCTGGACACGAAAACTGAAGCAAAGGAAATCCGGCCGCTCCGCTGGGAAGTATGATGTGTATTTGATCAAGTAAGTAAGAGCACCTCCTGTCTCTGCAGGGCGCGGAGGGCCAGGGGCTGGGCCAGGTGCTAAGACACTGGTGGGAGTGCATAGCCCACCTTAAATCAATCCAGGGGCTGCCCACCAGGTGTGTTAAAAGGACTGTGTCCGGAAGGCCAGGACGCAGTGCCGTGCTCTGAGCTCTGCGACCAGGCCAGGTCCTTACTCTCTGTCCTCCTCATCTGGAAAATGGAATAGCGGGTTGCAGTAGACCCTACCCAGGGGGCATGATGAGGATCCAGACAAGGCCCTGGGGAGCACAGAGAACAGTGTGACATGTAGGCAGTGAAGACACTCAGGGTGACATGCCTACCGTGCTCAAGGACACAAGAGCCTGTCCCAGGCTGGGCCCACTGCAGCCTATGAGCTGGGCACTGATGGCATCCGGAGCTCCCGGGGTCCTGGTGAGTCCCTGCTGGAGAGCGTTCTTTGCAGGGAGTTTTCTCGAAACCATGAGACCGCCTGCTCTTCTTCCCTTGAAACAGAAGAAGAAGGAGTTAATAGTACCCAGTCTGTTTGATTTTGTTTTACTCTGTGAATCACTTTTGGGAAAGGCGTGCCCTCTAACAAGGCCTCCAAAAAGAGAGACCAGCGGTACTCATGTGCCTTTCCAACTGTCCCTTTGGTATTTGTCCAGCTTTGTGCTGACAGCTAGACTTGTTCTGTTGAAACAGAGTAACTTCCAGAGTATGAGCTTCAGAGGAACAGGGAATAAGTACGTTTCAGTTCTACCCCTTGGAATGATCCAGAAAATGTTAGCAGTTTTCAGAGGACATTTTCATCTCATTTCATTTAATTACAGTTGATCCTCATTATTCACGGATTCCTTATTTGCGAATTGGCCTATTCGCTAACAGTTCTCATGGTGCTTTCCCGGACATGCATACCCAGAGCAGTGAAAAGTTCCCAGCTGAGGTTGCTAATTTATTGTTTACGGTGACTTTATGGAACATCACTACCGTGGGTAATGAGGGCTAACCGTACATCAGCTCTGAGAAGAATGTGCAAAGCATTAGTCTGTTGACAGATAAGGAAACAGATTCCCAGAGAGGTTAAGCAACTTGCCTGAGCTCAGACGAAGGAATATTCTAGCAGTGGCTCAGGCACAGGCACCAACCCGCAGAATGTACCCCAAGGCCCCTGCTGTGACGGGCCTGACCCCTTGGGTTGTTGGATTGTGGAGAGGCCAGGGTTGGGGGTGCTTAGTGGCAGAGGGTACCCTGGGCGATTCAGGCCGCCCCAAGCATTTGCACAGGCCCCCTGCAGACCCACTCCTCGTGACCTGCCTGTGCCACGTGGCTTCGCGCACAGCCTTTCCATTGCCCCTACAGGGAGCGCGTGCTGTGGCTGTTCTTACACTGGACTCTCGTTTACTAGTGGGATCAGACATGTCAGAGAGCTCGACATTGGCCTCTTGGACAGTCCTGGAGTGCCGCTAATTGTTCTTTGTGTTTCTCCATTTTTCCCCAGCCCCCAGGGCAAAGCCTTCCGCTCTAAAGTGGAGCTGATTGCATACTTCGAAAAGGTAGGCGACACCTCCCTGGACCCTAATGATTTTGACTTCACGGTCACGGGGAGAGGGAGCCCTTCCCGGCGAGAGCAGAAACCACCTAAGAAGCCCAAATCTCCCAAAGCTCCAGGAACTGGCAGAGGTCGGGGACGGCCCAAAGGCAGCGGCAGTGCGAGACCCAAGGCGGCGGCGTCTGAGGGCGTGCAGGTGAAAAGGGTCATGGAGAAGAGCCCCGGGAAGCTCCTCGTCAAGATGCCTTTCCAGGCCTCGGCGGGGGGCAAGGCGGAAGGCGGCGGGGCGACCACGTCCACCCAGGTGATGGTCATCAAACGCCCCGGCAGGAAGCGGAAAGCAGAGGCCGACCCCCAGGCCATTCCCAAGAAGCGGGGCCGGAAGCCCGGCAGTGTGGTGGCAGCCGCCGCCACCGAGGCCAAGAAGAAAGCCGTGAAAGAGTCTTCCATCCGGTCTGTGCAGGAGACCGTGCTCCCGATCAAGAAGCGCAAGACCCGGGAGACCGTCAGCATCGAGGTCAAAGAAGTGGTGAAGCCCCTGCTGGTGTCCACCGTGGGGGAAAAGAGCGGGAAAGGACTGAAGACCTGCAAAAGCCCCGGGCGGAAAAGCAAGGAGAGCAGCCCCAAGGGCCGCAGCAGCAGCACCTCCTCGCCCCCCAAGAAGGAGCACCACCACCACCACCACCACTCGGAGGCCCCCAAGGCCCCCGCACCGCTGCTGCCGCCTCTGCCCCCGCCTGAGCCCGAAAGCTCCAAGGACCCCAAAAGCTCCCCCGAGCCTCAGGACTTAAGCAGCAGCGTTTGCAAAGAGGAGAAGATGGCGCGTGGAGGCCCGCTGGAGAGCGACGGCTGCCCCAAGGAACCAGCTAAGACTCAGCCCGCGGTTGCTCCCGCCGCTGCAGCCGCAGAAAAGTACAAACACCGAGGGGAGGGAGAGCGGAAAGACATTGTTTCGTCCTCCATGCCAAGGCCAAACAGAGAGGAGCCTGTGGACAGCCGGACGCCCGTGACAGAGAGAGTTAGCTGACTTTCAACCGAGGGGATTGAAAAAGCAAACCAACAAGAATAAAGGCAGCTGTTGTCTCTTCTCCTTATGGGTAGGGCTCTGACAAAGCTTCCCGATTAACTGAAATAAAAAATATTTTTTTTTCTTTCAGTAAACTTAGAGTTTCGTGGCTTCAGGGTGGGAGTAGTTGGAGCATTGGGATGTTTTCTTACCGACAAGCACAGTCAGGTTGAAGACCTAACCAGGGCCAGAAGTAGCTTTGCACTTTTCTAAACTAGGCTCCTTCAACGAGGCTTGCTGCAGATACTACTGACCAGACAAGCTGTTTGTCAGGCTGCTTAGGCTACGCCTGCACCTGCCCTCCCACCCACCCCTTTTCACCCCGTGGGGCAAGAGTGGCACTGCTGGTGGCCGTTAGGAACAGAGAGCAGTTTTCCGTGCCATTGGTGCCCCAGTCTCCTGCCCGCACCTCCCCCAGCTCCCCCACCTCCCCATCCCAGCCATGGCGGGACAAGGAGGTGCAAGGTGGGAGAGACGGCGGGATTCTTTAGCAGAGCAGATCGAGATGGCAAGTGGCTCTGGCCCCTGTGAGACCACCCGTGACGGGCCAAGTCTGGTCCCACGCCGGTCCCCATCCGAACTCGACCAGGACACTTAACCAGAACAGTAACCCCTGCCCCCTCCAGCCCTGGCATGGCCAGGGAGGAGCCGTCATGTGAACTGCTGGCTGTAGACTGGCCTGAGCCAGGGCACAAAGTGGCTGAGGGCAAGGTGGCGTTGTCCACTCTCAGGGGCCATCTCCAGAGGGTGGTGCTAGAGAGATCGGCTGGGAGGACAGCCGGCCAGGACACAGCAGGCTGGCCCGGGGTGGGGACCAGGCCCAGCGCAGTGGGGCAAGAGGGGTTCCTAGTCACTCCAGGCCATCTTCAACCGGTAGTTAGGGACATAGTGGACTGGGCGGGGGAGGAGAACTGTTCTTCCAGCTATTTTCCAATTCTTCTACTTTAGGGACAGCTTAGAATTATTTGCACTATTGAGTCTTCATGTTCCCACTTCAAAACAAACAGAGATGCGCTGAGAGAACTGGCTCACTCCAGCCAGCAGAAGTGACAGTGTTGAGACCGCCTGTATCTGTATATATCTGCGCTTGTTTTAAAGTGGGATTAGCACATAGGGTTCCCACGAAGCTTCGAAACTCTAAGTGTTTGCTGCAATTTTATAAGGACTTCCTGATTGTGTTTTCTTCTCTTCTTCCATTTCTTCCTTCCTTTCATTTGACACTTTTGTTTCTTCCATGCTCTCCTTCCTTCTATTTTGTCCTTTCTGTTCCAGGCAGCCGCAGTGCCCCACTGTACCCTGAGCTAGTGCTTGTTGGCCCTCAGCCCTGTAGATGTCTCCCTGCCCGCCCCCTGCCTTCACGCTGCAGTACCAGCCCCACACTGTTCAAGCCCTTAGGAGGCCCCGGTCTCCACTGCCGGGAGCTGCCCGTAGCATTTCAAGGCTTCTCTCTCTGCAGAGAACAAGAGAGCACCAAGGTTTTGTTCTCCTAGGTGGCCCTTTCTTCCCTGGCGAGCAAAAAGCAAAACGCTGTTCCAACCCTTAACGACAAGCCTTTGCAGCCTTCGGCTCCGGAGAAGCAGGTGGGAGAGGTTGGGCGGGTGTGTTAGCTGAGCGCAGCATTGAGGCCCCCAGCACAGTCTCCGAGGTCTCCGTGCCATCCTGACAGTGGCCTCTGGCCGGCCCTGCCCGGCGCCTCCTGGTTTACCCTAGTGCAGACACTCCCGAGACCTGAGCTAGCGCCCAGTCCCAGCCCTCGACTCCTCCGATTCCCGGGCTGTCCTGTCTAACGGAGAAGGCTGGCTGGGGCCGGCACGTCACACGTTTCTCTGTGGTCCAAGGTGTGGTGCTGGGGTAGTAGTGGGCTTGCGATGGGGTTTGAATTGACCAGTTTGAGTCTGGGTTCCTGTCTTGTTACCCTCTGTTCAGGAAGTCCTTATCTAGCTGCATATCTTCATCATATTGGTATATCCTTTTCTGTGTTTACAGAGATGTCTCTTAGATCTAAATCTGTCACCTTATCAAAGTAGCAAAATGAGACAGCAGTCTTATGCTTCCAGAAACACCCACAAGCACGTCACTTGTGAGCTGCTGCAGTGACCTGTCAAATGTGTGTTGTCTTGTGTATTTCCGTTCTTGTCCCCGGCTTCCTTGTTCTGGTGTGATCCTGAAGGAGTGAAACATCATAGAAACCATGTAGCACTTCCTTGCCAGTCTTAGCGATCAGGAACCGTAGTCGACAGTTCCAATCAGTAGCTTAAGATAAAGCAGTGTTTGTCTTTTCCAGAATGGTTAGAAGCAAGGGAGTTTGCCCCGTTCGGTTCGTAGAGTCATAGCTGGCCTTTTGAGCCTGTTTGTAGCCATTTTCTTACGCTGTAAAAGCAAGTCCTGTAACAAAACCCGGCAGCCGCTTTCTTCCACCTGCACTTGCTGTCGAACCTGCCGGCTTCTCCCCAAGGAGGGAAGCGGCAGTCTAGGGAGGGCGTGAGGCCTTCCTCACTCGCCTTCCTCAGAGGACAAAAGGCTCCTGACCTCTCCCATGGCCTTGCCTGGTAGGCTTCTGTGGTCCTGCAACTCCTGGCACCTCCAAAGGACACCTGCCCATGTGTATGTGGCATCCGGCCAGTTTGCTGAGATGCCGTTTGTCACTGAGAAGACATGGGTTGGGGTGGGTCTGGTTTTTATACAATGCGCCTAGTCCAGTGCAGTGTGGCTCTTGGGAGCACAGTCAGGAGTTGGCAGTCGGGGGCCCAGGGCTGGCCGGCAGCCCCCCCCCCCCACTCCCCCAGCTTCTTTCCCTCTGGATCCCAAAGCTGCAGCTGGTGCCTGAGGCTCCATAGAGTCTGCACTCTCTTGCCCCTTTCGTCCACGTGAGTCAATTGCCTTTCTGCAGGCAGCCCAAGTCCCAGCTGAGGATGGCCCTGTGGCTGCCCCCCACCTCGGGGTCGGCTTGAACAGGAGGTTGGAGGGAAAGGATTCTCACCAGCTGTGTCCCACCCTGTCTCAAGGGGGCCTCGAGTTTGTTTGTTCTTGAACACGACAGAGATGGAGGGCAGTGACCAACAGCTTTCACATGCCCACGGGGCTGGATCCTTGAAGGTCACGTTCACAGTCGCCTCCACCCTCCATCTAGGTGTTAGTTTCCACCTCCTCTCTCTAGTCCATCCCATTCTGCTCCCCGCTGGGGGGCTTGTCATCAGTGGAATTGCCAGCCTTGAACGGTGGCACAGCCATAGCCAGGCACTGGTACAGAGGCAGTGGGGACACCTAGAAATGCCACATCGTCCAGCCCATCAGGGCCGCACTAGCCATGGGCCTGAAGCTCCCTGCTGGCCCCGAGCCTCGTTTGCCATTGCTCTGAAGGGGACCCTGAAAGGGTTGTCACCAGAAGCCAACAGCCAAGTTGGGTGAGGAGGAGTTTCTTTAACCAACAGGACTTCTGACTTGTAGCCAACATTTAATAAGCAGCTCAAGCCGAAGGGATGGCAGAAACGTCTGCACTGAGTCCACTCAAGGGGCCCAAATAGAGGTGGGTGGCCCAAGTGTTATCTATCCCTGTCTCCGCCTGGACTGGGCTGGGCATGGTCACGGGCCACCAGTACTTGGAGAGCTTTGTTGGTGTCCCACATTGCTTCCTGATTCGAGTTTAATCCCACAGAAACGAGCTGGCAGGGCAAGTCCCTGGTTCCTGCAGATGGAGCGGGCCGGGGAGGAAGTGGCCCCGGTGTGAGCAGCGAGTGTTTTGCGTCCCGTGCCCCATGTGCACTAGAGCTGTGTGCCCCCTAGGCCCCTGCCCCGCCCCTGCCCGCCCGCCCTCCATGCTGTCTCTGCTGTTTGCAGGGCCCATCTCTGCTCTGTCCATCCGCCAGCTAGCTACACTCGGAAAGAACCTGTTCATTTTCTCCACTTTGGTGTTTTTCTCTTGTAGATACTGTGTCAAGCTTTAGAAAAGGCATTGTCTAATTGTTACAAATCGCTAGGATACTGCCTCCTCCAGGGTCTATAATTACATATTAAAGGAGAAAAATTGAACGCTGAGACCAATTCTCAAGAATTAGAAGGAAAACCTAGAAAACAGTTGGCAGAAAATTACATTTCGATGTTTCTGAATGAATAAGAGCAAACTTCTGCAAAATGCTCGGCCTGAGGTGTCTGGTGAGCAGTACGGGCCAAGGGAAATCCAGCCCGAAGCCACCTGAGACTCTGGGCTATTTGGTCGTTGGAGAGCCAGTCTGTCCTTTGCTAGCAGCCGGCCTCTGACCTGTCCTTTGGAATTGGGTACGGAGGTTTGCCTAGGAACCCAGCTCTTGATATGGAAGGTGGAGTGTTCACCGGTGACTCAGCAGGCAGCAAGCCGGCCCCACCCGGCCCCACCCTACTTCCTGCTTGCTTTTCGGCTTGACAGAGCCCACCCCAGTCGCTGACCGGTCAGGGAAATCCGACGGAGGGAGTGATGTCTACCCCTCGGCCTCAGCCTGCTGTGTGTCCTGCCCCACCCCCTCAGCCACTTCTCCCTGCCTCACTCTCCTTGGGGTCTTAGGGCTGAGAGTGCCAGCCCCGGCTTCCCGCTCTGACTCCAGAGGTGAGGACAGGCTGTGCTGGATGAGCCCCTCGCCTCGCACCTGGTCACCTCCTGAAGTCACCGGGCCCTGTCGGGCGGGGCGGGTGGGAGAACCCCGAGGGCGGAGGCAGGACAGGTGCGAGGAGAGCAGCCCCCACCAGCCCAGCCCGGTCCCGCTCCCTGCCCTCCTGGGAGGAAGCCTGACATTGGAATTGGAGAACATTTGGGAGGCCTGCATGTGGCCTTGGCTCCACTGGCCTCCCCCTCCTCTTGCCCTTGGTCCTGGCCCGCTCAGCAGGGAGAGGAATCAGGTGAACGGTGCCCCCTCCCGCAGTGTCCGTGTGTCCAGTGATGCTCCCCGTGACTTAGAGACATCTGCCTAGGCCGCTTGTGCTCCTCGATCCTGGGGCTGGCTTGGTTTTGCTTTTTAGTTCCGCCTTTAGTTTTTCTGTCCCTTTTATTTAATGCACCAACTAGACACACAAAGCAGTGGAATTTTTATATATATATCTGTATATTGCACAATTATAAACTCATTTTGCTTGTGGCGCCACACACAAAAGACCTGTTAAAATGATACCTGTTGCTTCATTACAATATTTCTGATAACATAGCATAGGACAAGGGAAAATAAAAAACAAAACAACCGACAACTCTGTCTGCTGCTCACTTCTTCTGTCCAAGCAGATCCGTGGGCTCTCCTGCTCGGGGCTCCAGGCTGCGCCCTCCCTTCCCTAGTCTCTTGTGCTTGTGAGATGTGTCCCAAGACTGGGTGCAGATGACCGAGGCTCCCTGGACCTGGGGAGTCTGGAGTGTAGTCAGCTCTGGGCGGGGGGAGCTGGAGCCCACAGGGAGCCCCCTCCCCCGACCTCTCCCTCCCCTGCCCGTGAGCTGGGGTCGTGATGGGTGTGGGGAGTCAGTGGGATGGAGGGGAGATGGGAAGGCCTTTCCTGTCTCTGAACCAGGTAACCGCCCCAGGGACTCCACAACCCCGTGCGTCCAGTGTGCCCCCACCAGGAGTTTGAGAAGACTCCAGAACCACCCCTTTCTCTTCTCCCATAGCCTACCAGTAAACTGCATTTGCTTTTGTAATTCTTAATGAGCAATATCTGCTAGAGAGTTTAGCTGTAACGGTTCTTTTTGATCCTTTTTTAAAGTAATTAAAAACACCAAAAAAAAAAAAAAAATCCAGAAACTTGTTCTTCCAAAGCAGAGAGCATTATAATCACCAGGGCCAAAAGCTTCCATCCCCGTGCCGTTGCTTCTTCTGAGGCCCAAATTGACAAGAAGAATGGGTCTCTGGCCCTTTGGGTGGCTGGGCTGCCCTCAGGACCCTCAAGAGAAACCTGGGTGGGAGGCGCCCCCCCCCCCCGAAGCTGGTGTTCAGTATTAGCGGTGGGCCGGAGTGGGAGAGGGGCGGCCAGGAGACCACTGGCGCTGGTGTCCCGCCCCTCACAGGTGGGTGTCCCGCCCCTCACAGGTGGGTGTCCCGCCCCTCACAGGTGGGTGTCCCGCCCCTCACAGGTGGGTGTCCCCGTGTGGGAATGCGCCAGAAGCGAAGGCAGTGCCGGAGCTAGCCGCCCGTGGGGCCTCTAGCCCTGCCGGCTGCAGAGGACCCCTGCTCAGTGTTTCTGGGAGTCAGTAGTTGATGAATATATGACCAAATATGACCAGGACTGTTACTAACTCCGTGCCGGGCCCGAGTATCCGGACACTGTAGCGCGTGCTGTGTTTGCGCTCCTTTCTCCTTCCTGCCCTGCCCTGCCCTCGCCTTGTCTTTCTGGGGGTTTCTGTTTGGGTTTGGTTTGGATTTGATTTTTCCTTTTGTGTTCCAAACATGAGACACTTTACTGGTCCTCCTAACTGTGGTGTTGAGGCTTATATTTGTGTAGTTTTTGGTGGGTGAAAGGAACTTTGCAAAGTAAATCTCTTCTGTGTTTGAACTGAAGTCTGTATTGTAACCATGTTTAAAGTAATTGTTCCAGAGACAAATGCTTCTAGACACCATTTCTCTACAAACAAAGATCGGAGGGAGGGGGCTGGTGACTGAGATGAGAGGGGCTACCTTTTCCCCATTAGGGGGAAATCTGAAGAGATGGCCCCCCCTGCCCAGGTCCCCCACAAACCCCCCCCCCAAAAGAAGTTAAGCCCGCAAGTCCCGTTCCAGCTGACACGTGGCCATCCTCCAAGAGCAAAACCCCTTTCATACCACCCAGTGGATTCTTTTGGCTTCACTCCATCCCCACCCCAAGATTACTGACATCACAGTTATTTTTAAGGAAAGACAAGGTCGCATTTGCGAGGGTGGCCAGGAGGGGACTGGGTGTGTGGAGCTGCCTTCGCTTAAGTGGGGAGGGACGGTGGATGGCCTGAGTGCTGGGTCAGGAGCTCCTGGGAGGGCTCTGGCCCGGCTGGGGCTGGGAGGTGAGTGCTCCCCCCACGAGCAGCTCCCCTGAACCGGCCTGGCGTTTGGATGTTCGACTCCAAGGTGGCCCGGTGGAAGTTACCATTAAAGACACGCCATTCCCCCTCCCCCATTCATATGCACAGCACTATCGTACCCTGTCCGAGGGCAGTAAGTTGACTTGGGAGGGGGCTGTCCGATCCCTGGCAAAATGTGGAGTTAAGAAGCCCTTTTCCTTCCCTCAGAGAAGCTGTCACCCCGCGTTAGACATTGGGGCTCTGTGCTCCCTGAGTGCCCGGCAGCCCCTCTTGAAAGGCTGGGGACAGTGCTGGTCGTGGTGGCCACTTGCACCGGGGTGGGGGTGGGGGGGCGGTTAGGAGCTATAAGAACCAAGCGGGGTGCCTGCCCCTCCGGAGGTGCAGTTACCACACTCCCTGTCCCAGCCCCGAGCCCAGTGACACGGGCCACCCAGAAGCCCATCGGAGGCTAGGAGAAGCGTGAGGGAAGGGGGCACAGGGAGAGCCTCGATGGCGTTCACCGTTGGGTTTTGTGTTTTGGGACAATTACTTTAGAAAATAAGTAGGTCGTTTTAAAAAACAAAAAATATTGATTGCTTTTTTGTAGTGTTAAAAAAAAAAGGTTCTTTGTGTATAGCCAAATGACTGAAAGCACTGATATATTTAAAAACAAAAGGCAATTTATTAAGGAAATTTGTACCATTTCAGTAAACCTGTCTGAATGTACCTGTATACGTTTAAAATGCCCCCACGGAATCCCTGTAACCTATTTATTATATAAAGAGTTTGCCTTATAAATTTACATACAAATGTCCGTTTGTGTCTTTTGTTGTAAAACCCAGTGATTTTTCATAAGGTTCTTTTACTATTTGAAAAGATGGGCAGCACGCAGTTTTATTTTATTTTTGTAAGTTTTTTAATACATGTGAAGCAAAGAATACTCAGCATGCCTTTCTAAGTGACGCGTTTGCACCTTTTGTTGGGAAGTACTGTATCCTGTGCTGTTAGCATTCTCGATAAATCTCTCTGTGAAAGTGACTCAAGGTCTGGGCTTTCATTGTAAGACAGAAGTCCCCCCACCCCCTCAGGTCACATGGGTTTCCTGATTGCCTCCGGCTGGCCCTCACCACGGACAGACAGTGCTCTGAGGCCTGACGGGCCGGGCCGCCTCTTCGGGGTGCTCCAAGTTCTGAGCTCGATGGGGAATCCCAGAAGGGCCCGCCGGGTCTGCTCTGCACCCGCCCCTTCCAGCCTTTCTCCTAGCAGCACAGGGACTGGGTGCTTCTGGACCCCTTCCCCCAGCTTTGGCCCTTAGGTGTGCCACATCAGTTGTGACCTCCGCATTGGCCTTTGCTGGCTGATGACCAGGCCTCTTGACCCGGCGAGGGCATGGTGAGGGATTGTCCTAAGGGGACCCTGTAGTCTGTAAGAGCCAGGTTTCCCAGGAGCAGAAGGGGTCTGTAGGCCTGTGCCCCCATCCTCTCCCCAGACTGAGGACAGTGCACGCAGACGTCCTGGGCCTGAATGTGAACTGAAAGGGAGCCGGGGAGGATCCCACTTGGATGTATCCAGACCGTTCCAGGAGCTGACCGTCAGCATGAGCAAGGAGGCCCGAGGCCCTGCTCCCCTGGAGTTTAGCGTGTGCATGATCGTGTCAGATGCTAGGGCGGTTGTGTCTGAGGAAGGGCTGTCCCCGTGAGAAGTCCTGTGGGAAGTGGCCGTCGGCAGCTGCAGCTTCTGGGGAGAAGCTCGGTGCGGATTGATCTCAGGCCCTGTGGGAGAATCTGGCTTCTGGAAACAGCCCTAAGTCCCTGGGAGGACAAGCTGAGGATGCTCCTTTGGGGTCAGGATTGAGAGGGGCTGGGGAGCTGACCGGGAAGGAGACCTATTGGCAGCTGGAGAAGCCAACCCAAGTAAGGGACAGTCCTGCTTTTGGGGTCTCTGCATCTAGAGGGGTGCTGGCCCTGTGGTGAGGAGGATGCACAAGAGGTAAATAAAAGGTGCCCGTTGGACTGCAGACAGCTCCGCCCGAGGGACCGGGAAAGGTTTGCCACAGCTGTTGGACAAGGAGAATGTTCCAGGCCAAGCGAGTGGCACGTGCAAACTCCTGGACACAGAAAACAGCGTGCCCAGTCCATTTTCGAAACCCTGCAGAGTTCTGCCGCTCTGGGGAGAGAGCTAGAAATGGGGTGGGCAGGGGCCACATCGTCACAGCTGTGTGTGCCGCACAAAGGAACTGGGACCCCATCAGAGGGCTTCAGGACCCCAGGAAGGGTGTAAGCAGGGAAGGTAATAAAGAGGACAGTGGGCCAGTGGGAAGGGCTGGGCCCCGGAGACCAGCAGGGGACAATGGGAAGATAGTGGCTGCTGAGGTGTGGGGTGGAGCAGTGGAGGGGTGGCCGGAGAATCCAAGGAAATCGGGGTGGAGAACATTATGAGACACATGTGGTGACTGGGGGAAGCCAGACCCTGCCGTCCTGCCCCAGGGGAAGTGTGACGACAAAACGGAGGAGACAGCAGATGATTTTAAGTCAGGAGAGATTCAGGTGTATGTGCTCTGGGAGGGAGCCAGCAGAGAAGGAAGGTGGCAGAGCTAACACTTGGTGGAGCGGGTCTTGAAGGAGAGGAGATGGAGTCGGGGTGCCCTCCCTGACTCGAGTCAGTCGGGGCGGGGGGGGCTTTCTGGAACGCATAACTGACCCCGTCCTGCCCAGAACTCTGACGACTAGCCACCGCCTACCGAATAAAGACCAGACTTCTTAACGGAACCTCCAAATGGCTTTCACGTGGTCCGGCTGCAGCCACCTGGAAGCACTCTCCCTTTCTGAAACATGCCCTGCCTTTGCTTTACTCTCCCTGGGCTTCTGGTGCCGGAAGCGCTTGTCTTCGTCCCTCAGCGCCCCACTCATCAGGCCCCTCCTCCTGGAGGCCCGCCCCGCTGACCGGTTGGGCGAGATGCCGGCCGGGGCTCCCCGGGCTCGCGGGAGCGCGGGCTGCAGCCGGG